GAGCGGCAGTACAAACTGCTACGGGAACAGAGCCGAGGGGCTCCCGGGAAGCCTGCAACTTAGCCGTTGGGGAGAGGAATGATTGGGGCCTATCCGGTTAATGTTAGTGTGTCCATCAGTGACCTGGGGATCTGGTTAAAATGCAGATTCCTACTCAGGAGGTCTGAGGGAGGGCTCCCAGGTGAGGCCCTGCTGTTGGCACAAAGGGCCACAGTTGGCTGGGTGGGAGGCTGAGGCGGGAGGATCGCTCAAGGTCAGGAGTTCAAGACCAGCGTGAGCAAGAGCGAGACCCCATCTCTACTAAAAATAGAAAGAAATTAATTGGCCAACTAAAAACATATATAGGCCGGACGCTGTGGCTCACACCTGTCATCCTAGCACTGTGGGAGGCCAAGGCAGGCGGATCATTTGAGCTCAGGAGTTCGAAACCAGCCTGAGCAAGAGCAAGACCCCGTCTCTACTATAAATAGAAAGAAATTAACTGGCTAACTAATATATATAGAAAAAGTTAGCCGGGCATGGTGGCCATGCCTGTAGTCCCAGCTACTCGGGAGGCTGAGGCAGGAGGATTGCTTGAGCCCAGGAATTGGAGGTTGCTGTGAGCTAGGCTGACGCCACAGCACTCACTCTAGCCTGGGCAACAGAGCAACAAAGAGAGACTCTGTCGCAAAAATAAATAAATAAAAACATATATAGGAAAAAATTAGCCGGGTGTGGTGGCGCATGCCTATAGTCCCAGCTACTCGGGAGGCTGAGGCAGGAGGATGGCTTGAGCCCAGGAGTTTGAGGTTGCCGTGAGCGAGGCTGACCCCAGTTCTGGCAGTAGCAGCAGGTCAGAAGCCGCAGGTGTGTGTCACACCCGAGAACAGCAGGTTGTGGGGAGCTGGGGCAGCAGAGGCTGCTGAAGAACTTCCCCTGTGACCAACACTGGTTTACAGAGCAATTTCACATGTATCATCACATTTAATGTTCGCAGTCTCACCGGGTGCTGTTTTGACCCTTCCCTGCTCCCCTTTTTTTCCACCAAGGACCAAGGATTTAAGACTCATGAGGACCGAGCAGTCTGCCCAGGGGCACCTGGCTACCCTAGCAGAGCTGGGGCTTGACCCCAACCACACGCGACTCCAGAGCCCCTGGTCACTCCGTCCTGACGTGGTGCTCACCCCGGGAACGTCCAGAGCCTGAGTCCAGCCCAGGAGGCAGCGGACCGAGCCGAGCCCCTGGATGGCATCTCCACTGGGCTCGGTGCAGTCGGTCATTCAGTCATTCAGAGCGTTTGCGGTCCAGCCTCTGCAGGATCCTGTGCATAAGTCAGGCGATCTCTATTTCTTTGGTGTTTGTTCCTTTCTTTGGAAACCTTCGTCCTGGGTCTCCAACTTCCTGTTTCTGTCTGCACTGGTGGCTCTTTTGGCCTCCTAAACAGCTGTGATTCTGGAATTTTCCTTTGCTATTTCCTGGGGCCTCCTTTCGTCTTGAGTCTGTGTTGCATCGCCTGGCTCCGAGTTCTGCTGTCTTTCTCTTTCCTGAGTTCCGTCTTCCTTCTCGTGGAGTACAACCTCCAGTCGCTTTCCAAAAAAGAGTGCACAGAAGGTAAACGTTCTGGGAACTTTCATTGTCTTAGAATGTCTTTTTTTTTTTTTTTGAGACAGAGTCTTGCTTTGTTGCCCAGGCTAGAGTGAGTGCCGTGTCGTCAGCCTAGCTCACAGCAACCTCAGACTCCTGGGCTTAAGCAATCCTCCTGCCTCAGCCTCCCGAGTAGCTGGGACTACAGGCATGCGCCACCATGCCAGCTAATTTTTTCTATACATATTAGTTGGCCAATTAATTTCTTTCTATTTATAGTAGAAATGGGGTCTCGCTCTTGCTCAGGCTGGTTTCGAACTCCTGAGCTCAAAGGATCCTCCTGCCTTGGCCTCCCAGGGAGCTAGGATTACAGGCGTGAGCCACCGCGCCCGGCCTTAGAATGTCTTTATTCCAATTTGTCATACTTGATTTTGAGTCAGGGAATCGAATTCCGTGCTGGAAACCAATTCCCTCAGAATTCTGAAGGTATTGCTCTGTTGGCTTCCAGCGTGTAGCATGGCTGGAGAGAATTCTGTTGCTAATCCAATTACAGAGTGTTTGGGACTATTTTTCTTCCTTCCCTAGAAAATCTGGAAACCATTTTCTTATTATCCAAGAGTTCTGGCATGGCAAATGTTGTGTCTTGGTGTTGGTCTTTTTGTGCTCTGTCTGCCGGCAAACCCTTTCCATCTGGAAGGCCCTGTGCTTTGGTCCTGAGAAAATTCTCGTATTTAGTATTATTTAGTCAATAGTCTAATAGTCTTTCCTCACTTTTCTCTGATCTCTTTAGGTCTCCTATTTTTTGGATGTTGGATTTACAGAGGTTTGTGATATGGACAAGTTTTTGCTTTTCACGTAGGCATATCTATAAACTTTTTTCCTACAGATTTGCTGTTGATTTCATCTTTAACATATCCTTCCCAACCCCAGAGTTATATAACCAACTCCGTTTTTAATGTTGGCAATAGCAATTTCATAATAAAGTTCATGCTGTCTTTTCATCTAAGCTCCACTGCAGGCAGCAGAAGTGAGAAGTTATTGGATAAATAAAGGAGTGAAATGATTTATTGATTAAAAAAAAGAAAAACAACCCACGTAATTCATTTTATCCAACATTTTATTACCAGCAAGGATTCTGATTTTTAAATGTGGAAACAGGCATTTTGTTACAAAAGTTAATAAAATACATGAAACAATTGTTAAAGGACAAGGAGAAGCAAAAGCTCTTGAACACTCAGTGAACACAACAGGCGTGAGAATATGGAATATTCACTTCTGAAGCAATGGTGTGAAGAGGAAGAAAACCATAGTCGGGGCGCGGTGGCTCATGCCTGTAATCCTAGCACTCTGGGAGGCCGAGGCAGGTGGATCGCTGAAGGTCAGGAATTCGAAACCAGCCTGAGCAAGAGCCAGACACCGTCTCTACTATAAATAGAAAGAAGTTAATTGGCCAACTAAAAACATATAGAAAAAATTAGCCAGGCATGGTGGCGCACGCCTGTAGTCCCAGCTACTCGGGAGGCTGAGGCAGGAGGATCGCTTGAGCCCAGGAGTTTAAGGTTGCTGTGAGCCAGGCTGACACCACAGCATTCTAGCCTGGGCAACAGAGAGAGACTCTATCTCAAAACAAAACAAAACACAATTTTCAAAAGAAGAAAATAGCCAAGGCAGTACCTGAGCTATAGAGTCAGGGGTGGCAGAGAGACGCAAAGGTGGTGTGTTTCGGCCAGGATAAGGCCGGGCAGGTGGGTGCACTGGCTCACACTTCCAGCCCTGGTTAGACTCAGTTAGACTGAGGACTAAACTCTTCCATGGAGACTAAGGAAAGTGGGGGCCCCTGGAGCAAGCCCCTTGGGGAGGCAAGATGGGAGGGACCACAGAGCTCTGGTGGAAGTGTTTGCCTCCAGCTGGGTAGGTGGCTGCCCCATTGTGTCCCGAGAGAGGGCAGGCGAGGGGGTGTCCGTTATAGGCACTTGTTGTATATGTGTGTGTGTGTGTGTGTGTGGTAGGATGTGGTGGCCTGAAGTGTTCCTGTCACTGGCCGTCAAGACCAGCTGCTGTAAGGGGCAGGGGAGAAATGAATGGAAGGGGGTTGGGTAGGGCCAGGGCCGAGCCGTGAATGCATTAATAACGAGGGAGGGAAGCAGGTGGAGCCGGTGGGTGGGCAGAAGGGGGTTGACTAGGGGCTGGGGGAAGAACAAGGGGGACTGTGATGGGGGGGCTCTGAGCTCTGTTCACAGGCGCAGGGTGGGGGGGTGGGGGCGCTTCTGACAAGGGACGGCACAGCCTAGGCCGTGGCCATGAGACCTGGTGGCTGAGGTCCCAGGGGGGACGGGCAGGGGGTGCCCAGGACAGCAGGGTTCGAGGTGGAGGGGAGCGGAAGGAAGGAGAGAGACACGGAGAGGTGGGAAGCGCACGGAAGACTGGACTGTGAGGAGGGAAGGGGGTCGCACAAAGGCCAGCAGGCCGGGGAGAGGAAGCTGACCAACCAAAACGTTCTGTCGTGAGTTTAGTGCAGGCGGGAGGCTGGAGTGGGAGCGGGAGTCCTCCTCGGAGGGTGCCCCCACCCAGCACTCCGGGAAGGGTTAGGGTTAGGGTTAGGGTTAGGGTTAGGGTTAGGGTTAGGGTTAGGGTTAGGGCTGGGCCCCGAGGACACATGGCCGGAGCTGGGGGACGCGGAGGGGGGGGCTTGGCCGGCCTCCGGGGCCCCGGCCCTGCAGAAAGGGGGGGGGGGGGGGCCTCTGGCCTGGGGCCGCGCAGAGCCCGGGCAGGGCAGCGAGCCTCGTGCGCTCTGCTCCACGCGCGCACGGGAGCCCGGAGCCCCGCGCGGCCGCCCACCCGGGGCCGGACCCCTTCTGGGCGCGAGTCTAGCTCGGGGACCCCGGGCCCGCGGTGCGGCCCGGCCCTCAGGGGGCCTCCGCGTCTCGCGGTGCGGGGCAGGCCGGCCTGGCCAAGAGCGCAGGGCGCCTCCTCCAGCTCGGTTTGGGGACGGGGCAGAAATTCCGGGAGTTCCAGGCTCTTGGGGGGCTGGGGGTCCAGGGCAGGAAGGCCCCGCCGGGACCCGCCGCCAGCGGGCGCGCTCGACCCGATGGGCGCGCGGACGTCCGACGGGGGCGCCGGCCGGGACCCCGCCCCGTGCAGTGGGCGGCTGGGGGCGGCAAGGAGCGGGGAGGCAGCCGGGGAGGGCGGAGGGGGCGGGCAGACGCCGGCGGGGGCAAGCGGGCCGTGGGCGGGGGCGGTGCTCTCTCCCCCTCCCTAACCCCTCCCGTCCCTTTCTTCCTTTCTCTGCGCTCCCTGGTCCCTGCTTTGCGTCCGCGGCGGCCGAGGGGGCGGGCGCCGCAGCCTTTGTTGCCCGCCGGGCCGGAGCCGGGAGCCGCACGCGGACCGCGCAGCGACCGGACGGCACGGACCAGAGCTGCGCGCGGGGTCACCCGGCCATGCCCGGCGGCCCGAGTCCCCGCAGCCCGGCGCGGCTGTTGCGCCCCCTCCTCCTGCTGCTCCGCGCCCTGGCGCTCGGCGCCCCCGGACCCGCACCAGGTGGGTGGCCGCCCCGGCCCGCCCCTCCGGCCCTCCAGCCTCGGTTCAGGGTCTGGTCACTTTCGCGGACCCGGTGCCGGCCCGGCCCGGAGCTGGTGGCGCCCCCGCCCCCCCGCTGTTAGGGACGGGGTGGGTCGGTCCGGCTGGGGCGAGGCCGCGCCTCTGGGGACCCGTGCCCAGCCCGCTGCGCTCCCGACCCTGCGGGTCGCCGGGACCCGGCCGGTCCGCCGCTGGCCCTCCGGTGCCCGGGCGCGGCGGGGCAGGGCGCGGCGGGGCGCGCATCTCTGGAGCGCCCGCGAGGGGCCGGACGGAGCGCGGTCCCCGCGAAGGACGGGGGGTCCCCGCGAAGGACGGGGGGTCCCCGCCAAGGACGCGGCTTCCCGCGCTGCGGCGGGCGGCCAGCCGGGTCGCCGCGGGCGGGGGCGCCGGGTCTCCGGTCCTCACGGGCCCCTCGCCGCGCCCCGGCCCGGCCCCGCCCGGCGCATCTGCGCTGCCGGCGCGGCCCGCGGCTGGGCAGGGGCCGGGGCTCGCGAGGCCCTTGCACTTCCTGCCTCGCCCTCCCCCAAGTGCGACGGCGCCGGGAGCGGAGGGGGCGCGGGAGCCTCTTCCCCGCCCGGGGCTGACTCCCCGCCCGCAGAGCCTCGGCCCGGTCCGGGCTCTGGTTTGGCCGCGACCTGCGGGGCAGCCACGCTCCGGCGCGTCCGGAGAGACCCCGGGCCCGGGTCCGGTGGGGGCTGGGCGGGGGCGGGGACAGTCCCCTGCAGGCGAGCGGAGGGCCCGAGGCCGGGGGAACTGGAAGGGGGGCGACGAGCTCCGCGTGGGCTGCGCGAGCGAGCCGGTCTGAGCGCGTCGGGGGGCGTCCTGCTTACTGGGGTGGGGTCGACCTGCGCCCCAGGGCAGGGATTGTGGCCAGGAAGGGGTCTGGGCTGGAATGTGGGGGGCGTTTAGACCCGTCGAGGGGAGCAGCCCTTGAAAGCAGCGTTATAGGGAGGTTCGGTCTGGCAGCGATGAGCAGGGAGTGGAGAGGAAGCGGACATTAAGTGAGCACCTACTACTTGCCAGCCTGTTTCTCGCCATCTCCGCACCCCTGCAAGGCAGGTGACGGAAAGCCCCTTTATGGACCAGGAAACGGGCTCAGAGAGTGGAGTGAGCCTCCTCGGTTTTCTGCAGGAAGCCGGTGTTTTCCCACTGCCCGGTGCGGGGTCCTGAGCCCAGTGCTGGGACCGGGGGATCAGGAAAGCGGTTCCCCGGGAAGGAACTTGGGTCCAGGCCCCCTGGCAGCTGTGGGAAGCAAGGAGGTGGCCAAGCTGGTAGGATTCTTTTTGGGGGAGGGGAGGACAGAGTCTCACTCTGTTGCTGGGGCTAGAGTGCCGTGGCGTCAGCCTCACTCACAGCAACCTCAAACTCCTGGGCTCAAGCAATCCTCCTGCCTCAGCCTCCCAAGTAGCTGGGATTACAGGCATGCACCACCATGCCCTGCTCATTTTTTCTATTTTTAGTTGTTTGCCTAATTTCTTTCTATTTATAGCAGAGACAGTCTTGCTCTTGCTCAGCCAACTCCTGAGCTCAAGCAATCCTCCCGCCTCGGCCTCCCAGAGTGCTGGGATTACAGGCGTGAGCCACCGAGCCCGGCCTGCTGGTAGGATTCTTGTTAAGATTAAGTGAGAATACTAAATGTCAGTTGCTTAGTACAGGGCAGAGTGATTACCAGGTAATGGCCGTTATTTTTATTAATCTGCCAGGTGGACCCAGTAGGGTGGGCAGCCCTTGGTGAGCCCTGCAACCGGGACTTTTGGTTTGGGGGTGGGGGCAGGCCAGACACCCTCCCCCGCCTCATCTGGGCGCAGTCCCCCTGGGGCAGAGCGGCTGTCTCTAGTGTCCCGGCTGATGTCCAGCGCGGGGCCTTCCCCATTCTGCACTGACTCAGGACTCCTGACTCAAGCTGCTGACCTCTTTTTCATTGTCTTTTGAGCCTGGGACCTAAGCCTGGGCTCTTCCCACCACATGCCACCTTGAGACCAAAGGGCACGCCCTGGGCTTGCTTTTAGGAAAGTATATCCTGACTTTTTCTCCACCTGTGACGAACCTGAGGCCACCCTAGGGTTGCTGGACTGGGGCTCGGGGCGGGTCTTTCCCCAGCCCACCATGCTGTGCTGCACACGTGAGCCGTGTGTGTACATTCTGCATGCACACGCCTACACCAGGACCGTGTGTGGGGACTCACAGAGGAGTGCCTGTGCCACTCACATACCACCATCCCCGGCTTATTTTTCCTCTTCGGCCTGAGCTGCAAGGTCACCTGAAGGGCTGGGTTGCAACCCAGGCTCTCAGTAGGGAGGTGAGGGTAAATGCCGTGCTGGCATTTCTCTGGCAGAAGCACCACAGTGACAGTTCTGTCACCCAGGGCTGATATTCAAAGTATTTAACACCCAGGGTGGCAGGGCTTAGTCCGGCCAGAACAGACTCGGCCGTGAGCTGCCGGCAGCTGTAGCTCTGCGGGCTCAGCTCTGTGCAGGAACTACTGCTTGTTCAAGGCACTGGAGCTTGCAGTTGCCACCTGCTGGCATGACGGGTGCTCGTGTCAGCCACCAACATCTCTACACCAGGGTCAACCGTAGGCAACAGTGAGAGGAAGTTTCGGAGTTTCTTACTCACTACTCCTGCTCTTAGCATTTTTATTTATTTATTTATTTTCAGACAGGGTCTTACTCTGTCACCCAGGCTGGAGTGCAGTGGTGAGATCATAGTTCACTGCAACCTGAAACTCCTAAGCTCAAGCGATCCTCCCACCTCAGCCTGCCAAGTAGCTGGGACTCCAGGCGTGCACGCCTGACTAATTTTTTTATTTTTTTGTACCGGTGGGGGAATCTCACTGTGTTGCCCAGGCTGGTCTCCAACTCCCGGCCTCAAGTGATCTTCCCACCTCCCGAAGTGCTGGGATTACAGGTGTGCGCCACTACACCTGGATAAAACTATTTGAGTGGCAAAACAGTACACGTTCATTATAAAAAAATGAATGCTGAACAAAATAAAGAAAATAAAAATTATTGCAATCAAAGCAGCAACATCCTATAAGTCTTTATTTTTTCTTTTTGATTAAAAACATTTTATTAAGCCATTAGGCAAAGAGATAAAATGAGTTTTTAAAGAAATAGGTAAATATACTTTAGAACTTTTCTTGCTAAATTGTATTTTATTTTATTTTATTTTTTGAGACAGAGTCTCACTTTGTTGCTCAGGCTAGAGTGAGTGCCGTGGTGTCAGCCTAGCTCACAGCAACCTCAAACTCCTGGGCTCAAGCCATCCTCCTGCCTCAGCCTCCTGAGTAGCTGGGACTACAGGCACGCGCCACCATGCCTGGCTCATTTTTTCTATATATTTTTAGTTGGTCAATTAATTTGTTTCCATTTTTTTTTTTTTAGTAGTGGTGGGGTCTCGCTCTTGCTCAGGCTGGTTCCGAACTCCTGACCTCGAGCGATCCTGCCTTGGCCTCCCAGAGTGCTAGGATTACAGGCATGAGCCACCGAGCCTGGCTGAGAAATCTCTCTTGAAATCTCGTTTCCCCATTTTTGTTAGAGACTCAGTTCTTTACCGAGTGAGAGAAAACACAAGCATGATGCCACAGGGCAGCCAGGGTGTTGGGACACAGTGGGGGTGGTGGTGACGGTGGTGTCTTGGGGAGCATGACACTCTCCAAAGGGGATTCACAGCCTGCCTCCGGCACCTTCTGCCAGGTGGGAATTTAGGCCTGACGTGGAGGGACGATAGATTTTTTTTTTTTCAAGGAAAGCTGAAAATTGTCCGGGCACGGTGGCTCACGCCTGTAATCCTAGCACTCTGGGAGGCCGAGGTGGGCGGATTGCTCCAGATCAGGAGTTCGAAACCAGCCTGAGCAGGAAAGAGTGAGACCCCATCTCTACTATAAATAGAAAGAAAGTAATTGGCCATCTAATATATATAGAAAAAAAAATTAGCCGGGCATGGTGGCGCATGCCTGTAGTCCCAGCTACTCGGGAGGCTGAGGCAGGAGGATGGCTTGAGCCCAGGAAACTGAAGTTGCTGTGAGCGAGGCTGATGCCACGGCACTCACTCTAGCCTGAGCAACAAAGTGAGACTCTGTCTCAAAAAAAAAAACACACACAAAAAACTGAAAATTGAAATTTTTTTTTTTTGTGCAAGATCATATGATTCTAAAACATTGGTGATTGATGAAAATGGTTTTTCAGTATTTGTGGCAGCCAAAACAGACCTCCCTCCCCCCAAGTCAACACACTAACAGACAAAAGCAAGTCTGCAGGCCGTAGCTGTGGAATTGTCATCCCAAATGCCCTTATTGGGTTGTCAGAGCAAGAAATCTCCTTAAATCATCCAGCCCAGTGGCTTCCCAAGGCCAGCCCCTGGAAGAGCTATGTGAGAATCCCTGGGAAAGTCTAGAAAAATACAGAAAATATGGATTCTGGGGCCCCTGCGCCCTGGAAGTGCAGATCAGAATCTCGGCGGGGTTCCGGCACCTGTAGTCTGTCTCCAGTGCTGCCAGTTACCGCCAGGTCTCATTTGGGGGGGTCCCCTAACTCCTGCTGATCACGGCGACCTGAGGCTCGTGTGGAAACAGCCTCCCGGTCCCTCTTTCCTGGAGGTGCTGATGTAGCTAGTCTGGGACGGGGCCTCGGAATTTGTGTTTAAGAAGTTCTTATCCATGAAGTCGGGAAAATCCTTGCACTTGGGTCCCCCGAGGCTCAGTGACGGGGAGACTTGCTCAGGGCCACACAGCCGGTCACCCGGCCAGCCGGCCTCGGGATTCTTGGAAAAGGCTCTTGAGGCCTGGACCACTGGGGCAGGTGCGGGCAGAGGGGGACGTCCGCAGCTCGGGCACAGCCCTGGGTGTGCAGGGCTCTCCACATGCGGTTTGGCGGGGACAGACTGGAGGGCGGGTTTGGTTTCTGTGGCCTGGCTGGGATGGAGACAGCTGTGGCTGGTAGCAGCAGAAAGAGCCCAGGTGGGTGTCTGCAGGTGGCCCAGGCATCCTCGTGGGCCCAGAACAGCCGGGATCCCAGGAGTCACTCTGGGCAGGACCTGGAGCTGGGAGAAACCCCGGACCAGTGAGTTCCTAACTGTGCTCCGCAGAGGCTAGGACCTGCAAGGAGGGCACAGTGGGGACAAAAGTGAGATTTACGTTGAAGACAGGCCTGGTGGCCAGAGAAGCTTGAAAACCTTGATCTAATCTAACCCCTTCACATTAACAATGGGGAAATGGAGGCCCAACAATGAACGGACTGCTGAGAGCATAGAGCACTGTGACTGAGGAGAGTGAAGCCATCAGAGAGACTTGGATCCCAGTCTCAGCTCTGCCTCCCTCGCTGTGTGGCTCTAGGTCAGTCTGTCGCCCTCTCTGAGCCTCTGTTCTCTTTGTCACCTAGGAAGCAGGCCGGAGAGCTGACTACAGGTGCTGGTGTCCCAGCCCGGGGCCCCCAGCCTAAGGGACCATGAATTCAAGGGATCCATGAACTTGGATGGGAAAATATTACATATTTAATATTTCTGATCTCTAAGTGAAATCTAGCGTTTCCTGTGATTGTGAATCTTATTTACAAATCTCAATCGTATTAATAGCACCTGTGATTTTGTTACCAATGGAAAAGAACAAAGATTTTTCTATCTCATTACAGTTGTTGCAGGTATCTCTTTTTTTTGAGTCAGAGTCTCACTCTGTTGCCCGTGCTAGAATAAGTGCCGTGGTGTCAGCCTGGCTCACAGCAACCTTAAACTCCTGGGCTTAAGCGATCCTCCTGCCTCAGCCTCCCAAGTAGCTGGGACTACAGGCATGCGCCACCATGCTCGGCTAATTTTTTCTATATATTTTTAGTTGGCCAATTAATTTCTTTCTATTTATAGTAGAGACGGGGTCTCGCTCTTGCTCAGGCTGGTTTCGAACTCCTGACCTCGAGCAATCTGCCTGCCTCGGCCTCCCAGAGTGCTAGGATTACAGGCGTGAGCCTCAGTGCCCGGCCCGCCGGTACCTTGAAATAAGGTTTATGCTCACCACTACTTCAGAATTACCATAGTTAAATTTGCCGCTAGATCATGTTTAAAACAGTAATAAAGGCTGGGTGTGGTGGCTCACGCCTGTAATCTCAGCACTCTGGGAGGCCGAGGCGGGTGGATCGCTCGGGGTCAGGAGTTTAAGATCAGCCTGAACAAGAGCGAGCCCCTGTCTCTACTAAAAATAGAAGGAAATTAATTGGCCAACTAAAAATATATGAAAAACATTAGCTGGGCATGGTGACAAATGCCTGTAATCCCAGCTACTCGGGAGGCTGAGGCAGGAGGATCGCTGGAGCCCAGGAGTTTGAGGTTGCTGTGAGCTGGGCTGACGCCAGGGCACTCACTCTAGCCTGGGCAGCAAAGTGAGACTCTTTGTCTCAAAAAAAAAAAAAAAGAAAAGAAAAAAAAAGAAAATTACTGCGGTAATCCCGATGGGGAAACTGAGGCAGGGAAAGGTGAACTGGCAGAGCTAGCAGATGGCACGGCGAGGATCTGCGCCCAGGCACTCCGCCCCCGCAGCCCGCTCGAGCCTGCGCATCCTCGGGTCCCCGCGACCCGGACCAGCAAGGACCCCCTGTCGTGCTTTCCCCGCAGGGCGCCCGAGCGAGGGCCGCGCGGCGCTGGACGTGGTGCACCCGGTGCGCGTGGACGCGCGCGGCTCCTTCCTGTCCTACGAGCTGTGGCCGCGCGCGCTGCGCAAGCGGGACGTGTCCGCGCGCCGCGCCGCGCCCGCCTTCTTCGAGCTGCAGTTCCGCGGGCGCGCGCTGCGCTTCAACCTGAGCGCCAACCCGCACCTGCTGGCGCCCGGCTTCGTGAGCGAGACGCGGCGGCGCGGCGGCCTGGGCCGCGCGCACATCCGGGCCCGCGCGCCCGCCTGCCACCTGCTCGGCGACGTGCAGGACCCGGAGCTGGAGGGCGGCCTGGCGGCCATCAGCGCCTGCGACGGCCTGGTGAGTGCGCGCGGGGGCGGCCGGAGCGGGGTTGCCCCCGGCCTTGCCTAGCCCTCGCCCTGGGTGGGGGGCGGTGGCCCGGGCGCGCTTTTCCTCCGCCCGCCCGGGCCTTCACGCCCGCAAAACGGGAGCCGCAGCGCGGGCCTCCTCAGGGACCGGGGTTCTCCAAGCTCGGTGTGAGCCAGAGTCACGCGCAGGCCTTGCTAAATAAATCCCAGGTTTGGGCAGGGTGGACCCGGGGTGGGGCCCAGACACTTGCATTTGTGGAGGCTTGCAGGTAGGGTTGGAGCTGCAGGTCCCGAGGTCCCACCTGGAGACCTGCTGTTTGGACCCAGTAACTCTGGAAGCAGTCCAGCCACCTTCCTCTAGAGCAGGTGTCCTCAAACTGCGGCCTGCGGGCCATATGCGGGCCACCGAGGACATTGATCCGGCCTGCCGGGTGTTTTTGCCCCTGCTGCCTGTCCTGCTTAGCAGCCGACCTGTGGAATGTGTGTTGCACTCTCCAATGGCCCTCCGGCGGTCTGGGGGACGGTGAACCGGCCCCCTGTTTAAAAGGTTTGAGGACCCCGGATTTAGGGCGTCAGCTGCCCCTGTTCCTCCACAGACCCCTTTAGGCCCTTCTTCTCCTGGACGGACCCCTTGCCCGTTAGCCATTCTGCAGCGGGCGGTGAGAGCCCCTCCCAGCCCCTCTGCCCTGGTCAGAGCCCCCCGAAAGCAGCCTCAGCCTCCCGGGCTGCCTGGCTTGCGGCTGACACCGGCTACTGCTTGCGGCCCTAGTCGCCGCCCTGGTTGTGTCCGGGTTAGAGCAGCTCCTACCCGGCAGGACAGGGCGGCTTCTGCCCCTGTTCAGGTGAGCAGCCCTGCCCTCCCAGCTCTGGAGGTCGGGGCAGGGGAGGAGTGGGGACGTGAGCACACTCTCAGCCCTCCGCTGTTCCCGGAGGCCCCCAGCTTGGATGGCCCAGACAGAAGCCGTGGGCTGCCGTGGCTCACGGCCTCGTGACAGGGCAGCCCCCACCTCGGGCTGCAGAACGCCTGGGCCTTTGAAGGCCCGTCTGCTTGGCCGGGCGCTCTGGCTTGCGGAGCCTGTGCCCAGAGCCTGTGCACAGCTGCGCACAGGGCACGGTTCCCGGATTACGGACGAGGGCACAGGCTCAGATAAGCACTTGGCCAGGCTGCCTGGTTATCCGGCGAGGGAGTCTGCATCCACACGGGTCTCCAGGCCCCCCTGGCCCTGTGTGACCCAAGGCGCAGAACTGGTGCCGATGAGGGGAACTTGGAGGGAGGTAAATCTGTCTTCCCTGTTGGAGCCCTGAGCTCCCCCAGGAGACGGTGGGCAGCCCCAAGGCCCCTCTGTTCCCTGGACTCTTTGAACACCAGTGGGGGCCCAGGACAGCCCTGCCAGCTTCCCTTCTCTGGCGGGCCCTAGGCCCAGGGAACAGGATGTCCCGATGGCCTTGGGCATCTCCGTGGCTTGGGTGTGGGCAGAGAGCTGCCTTTGGAGTGATTCACTGCTCGGGGAGACGGAGGGCAGGGCAGAGTGCTGGACACAGCGGATGCAAAAGGATGCAGAATAGCCCGGAGGCCTGGGCATGGGCTGTCTGCTCAGCTCGGCTGCCTGGGACTCTGCGGGTGAGGCTGTCTTGTCAGGTTTGGACGCAGCCCCATGTCTTGCTCCTGTGTTGGGAAGGGCGTGTGGAACAGCATCCGGGCGGCGGTGGCTCCTGAGCCCCGCTTTGAAGCCTTTGGCTGGGCGAAATGGCAGGGAAGGGCGTTCTGGGCGGAGGAGGGCGCAGCGTGCCTGGGACCGGTCAGGGCTGGTGGGAGCAGTGGGGGCTCAGCTCCAGGATGGGCACAGAGAGAGAGCAGCCGCTGCAGCCCTGCCCGTGTGGCCCGGTGCTTCCTCCCCAGAAAGGCGTGTTCCAGCTCTCCGGCGAGGACTACTTCATCGAGCCCCTGGACGGCGCCCCGGCCCGGCCCGGCCACGCCCAGCCCCACGTGGTGTACAAGCGGCAAGCCCCGGGGAGGCGGGCAGAGCGGGGCAACTCCAGCGCCCCGGGCACCTGTGGAGTGCAAGGTACGCTCCTCCGCTCGCGGCCAGTTCTGAGCCGGGGGTGCGCCTGGGGGTATGAAAGGCCCTTTCTAGAAGCCTCTTTCGACATCCCACGCTCAGCTCCCTGTCCCAGAGGGACACAGACAGACAGACACATCGCCAGAGCCGGAGCCCTTAAATGTGCACAAGGCTGTGCCCTGCACCTGTCGGCGTACCCAGCCAGTCCCAGACCGACCTCACCTGCCCCCCGCACCCCTGCGGGGTTCCGGCTCCCCCTGCTCTTCCCCGCCCGGGCCTGTGGCGCCTCTGGCTCTGCTAACCGGTCTTCCGAGTGTCCGGCTGGCACGCCACGCCCAGCCCGGCAGGGCCCTTGGCCGGGAGCCGCCTCCCCTGCCCGGCCTGCTCCCACCGGCGTCACTGACCCTGGGGCCAGGTGCCCAGCGCTGCCCCCGCGGGCGGCCGTCCTGCGGCCAGTCCGGCTCGAGGAGCTGCCGCCAAGGGCTGCCGGGGTTGGGGCTGCTCGCCCGGCGCCCCAGCCTCACGCTGCCCACAGCCGGGGACTCCGCTTGCTGGAGCAGATGCCCCTGGAGGTGCGCTTCTCAGCCTCAGTTTCCAGCCTCACACACGTGCTTCCTCTCCCCATCCGGGGCCGGCCCGGCGCAGGGGACGAGACCCGGGCAGGGCCCTGGCCGGCCTCCCGGGCGGGGTCGGACTGTGGGGCCTGCACTGCTGGGGTGCTCCAGCCCCGTCGAGGGGGAGCCTCGCGGGGAGACAGGGCCCTGTCCTGACGTGGACGTGGCACTTTGCCGTGTCTGTGTCTTCCCTTTCTCGTTTTGTTTTGCGAGACAGAGTCTCGCTCTGTCGCCCAGGCTAGAGTGAGTGCCGTGGCGTCAGCCTCGCTCACAGCAGCCTCCAACTCCTGGGCTCAAGCGATCCTCCTGCTTCAGCCTCCCGAGTAGCTGGGACTACAGGCATGCGCCACCATGCCCGGCTGATTTTTTCTGTATGTATTAGTTGGCCAATTAATTTCTTTCTATTTTTAGTAGAGACGGGGTCTCGCTCTTGCTCAGGCTGGTTTCGAACTCCTGACCTCGAGCGATCCTCCCGCCTCGGCCTCCCAGAGTGCTGGGATGACAGGCGCGAGCCACCGCCCAGCCCGCACCCTCCGGCTCACCTGCCCCCCAGGTCCCCCTGTGGGGAGATCCGCTCACCCTCTGTGCAGTCAGGGAATGCCGAGGGCGGACACGGGGCCAGGCTAGGGCCACACGGCACACGTCTGGGCCGGCCCGAGGGGAGTCCGGGCTCCTGCCCCAGGGAGCTCGCCGCCCCGGCTGGTCCTGGAGGCCGGGCCCGGGCCGGCCCACGGTGCTGACCCCTCCTGCCCGCCCGCAGCGTCCCCAGAGCTGGAGTCCCGCCGGGAGCACTGGGAGCAGCGGCAGCAGCGGCGGAAGCGGTCGCGGCGTCTGCACCAGCGCTCGGTCAGCAAAGAGAAGTGGGTGGAGACCCTGGTGGTGGCCGATGCCAAGATGGTGGAGTTCCACGGGCAGCCACACGTGGAGCTCTACGTGCTGACCATCATGAACATGGTGAGGGTGCGGGCCGCCGCGGGCTCAGCTGGCACCTGGGGGGGGAGCCTCGGGACACCACAGGGCGCCGTGCCGCCGCGGGCTCAGCTGGCACCTGGGGGAGGGGAGCCTCGGGACACCACAGGGCGCCGTGCCGCTGCGGGCTCAGCTGGCACCTGGGGGGAGCCTGAGGCAGCCAGGAGGGGGGGCTTTACTGGCCCAGGTTCTGCCACTGTGGGTTGGGGCAGCACGTGTGCAGGTGTGGAGACATCACGTGTGACACGTGCATTGCATTGGTGTGCAGCCGTGTGTACCTGTGTGAACACCCTTGCGTGTGAACACGGTGTGCACCCGTGTGAACGCCCTTGCATGTGAATACTATGTGCACCTGTGTGAACACCCTTGAGTGTGAACACCCTTGCGTGTGAACATGGCGTGCACCCGTGTGAACACCCTTGCGTGTGAATGCTATGTGCACCCGTGTGAACACCCTTGTGTGTGAACACCCTTGTGTGTGAACGCTGTGTGCACCTGCGTGAACACCCTTGCGTGTGAATGCTATGTGCACCCGTGTGAACACTCTTGCGTGTGAACACCCTTGCGTGTGAACGCTGTGTGCACCCGTGTGAACACCCTTGCGTGTGAATGCTATGTGCACCCGTGTGAACACACTTGCGTGTGAACACCCTTGTGTGTGAACGTGGTGTGCACCCGCGTGAACACCCTTGCGTGTGAACGCCGTGTGCACCCGTGTGAACACCCTTGCGTGTGAACGCTGTGTGCACCCGCGTGGACACCCTTGCGTGTGAACGCTATGTGCACCCGCGTGAACACCCTTGCGTGTGAACGTGGTGTGCACCGCGTGAACACCCTTGCGTGTGAACGCCGTGTGCACCCGTGTGAACACCTTTGCGTGTGAACGTGGTGTGCACCCGTGTGAACACCTTGCGTGTGAACGCTGTGTGCACCCGCGTGGACACCCTTGCGTGTGAATGCTATGTGCACCCGTGTGAACACACTTGCGTGTGAACACCCTTGTGTGTGAACGTGGTGTGCACCCGCGTGAACACCCTTGCGTGTGAACATGGTGTGCACCCGCGTGAACACCCTTGCATGTGAACGCCGTGTGCACCCATGTGAACACCCTTGCGTGTGAACGCCGTGTGCACCCGTGTGAACACCCTTGCGTGTGAACGCTGTGTGCACCCGCGTGGACACCCTTGCGTGTGAACGCCGTGTGCACCTGTGTGAACACCCTTGCATGTGAACGTGGTGTGCACCCGTGTGAACACCTTGCGTGTGAACGCCGTGTGCACCCGCGTGAACACCTTGCGTGTGAACGTGGCGAGCACCCGTGTGAACGCCCTTGCGTGTGAACGCCGTGTGCACCTGTGTGAACGCCCTTGCGTGTGAACGCCGTGTGCACCCGTGTGAACACCTTGCGTGAGAACGCCGTGTGCACCCGCGTGGACACCCTTGCGTGTGAACGCTGTGTGCACCTGCGTGGACACCCTTGCGTGTGAATGCTATGTGCACCTGTGTGAACACCCTTGCGTGTGAACGTGGTGTGCACTCACGTGAACACCCTTGCGTGTGAACACCTTGCGTGTGAACGCCGTGTGCACCCCCGTGGCGGGGCGGGCCCTGGCTGCCGTGCCGGTCCTGGCTCAGCCCCTCTCCCGGCAGGTGGCCGGCCTGTTCCACGACCCCAGCATCGGGAACCCCATCCACATCACCGTCGTGCGCCTGGTCCTGCTGGAGGAGGAGGAGGTGAGAGGTCGCGGCTACGTGTTGCCCCTGGCGACGGGCGCCCGCTGCCCGTTGGCTGAGCTGCCCCGTGAGGAAGGGCACAGCGTGGCCTCCCGGTCCTGGACCGTGTCTCCCGTCACCCCGACCTGCCTGCCCCTCTCCCATGTCTCAGCCCCACCCGCCAGGAGGCGCCCGCAGGGGGCTGGACAGGGCCCTGGCCTGCTGCTGTCCCCACCACCCTCCGGACTGTCCCCCTGTGGGGAGGGTGGCTGCCCTCTCGGGGCTCAGGGGTGTGCGGGGTGCTGCTGTCCCCACCACCCTACAGCCTGTCCCCCCTGTGGGGAGGGTGGCTGCCCTCTCGGGGCTCAGGGGCGTGCGGGGTGCTGCTGTCCCCACCACCCTCCGGCCTGTCCCCCTGTGGGGAGGGTGGCTGCCCTCTCGGAGCTCTGCGCCCCTCCTCCGCCCGCAGGGGGACCTGAAGATCACGCACCACGCGGGCAACACGCTGCAGAGCTTCTGCAAGTGGCAGAAAAGCATCAACATGAAGGGGGACGCCCACCCGCTGCACCACGACACTGCCATCCTGCTCACCAGGTGAGGCGCCCGGGAGCCCGCACCTGGGTGGAGCTTCCAGCCCGGGCGCGGCTCTGGCGGGGACCCAGCCTCATTCCCTTAGGGGAGTCTGCGCACCTTGGTACGGACTGGATCCCGTCCGCTTGCGGGCAGGGCGGTTTTTGTTTTGAGACAGAGTCTCACGCTGTTGCCCAGGCTACAGTGAGTGCCGTGGCGTCAGCCTCGCTCACAGCAACCTCAAACTCCTGGGCTCAGGTGATCCTCCTGCCTCAGCCTCCCGAGTAGCTGGGGCTACAGGCATGCGCCACCACGCCTGGCTAATTTTTTCTATATATTTTTAGCTGTCCAATTAATTTCTTTCTATTTTTAGTATAGACGGGGTCTCGCTCTTGCTCAGGCTGGTCTTGAACTCCTGACCTCAAGCGATCCTCCCGCCTCGGCCTCCCAGAGTGCTGGGATTACAGGTGTGAGCCACCGCGCCCAGCTGGATGGGCGTCCTTTTATCTTGAAATAACTGTGGTTCCCACGTGGTTGTCAGCAGTAACACGGTGGCCCCGTGTGCCTCCCCCGTCCCTCCCAGTGGTGACAACTTGCGTGACCGCAGCACGGTGTCCCCACCGTGATGCTGGTCTCGATGCGATCACGGGCGTGCTCAGACGTCACCAGCCCCGCCTGCACTCGTGTGCACACGCTTAGCCGGTGCGTGCAGTCTGTCACCTGTAGGCCCACACGTCTGTTGCCCGGTCTGGGCACGGAGCAGCTGCGGCAGAGGGACAGCGCGTGCTGCCTGTGACGGCCACGTGCCCCCGTCCCCCAATCTCTGCAGCCGCGCCTTTGCACGGTCGTGTGTCTGGACTCCGGGTGGAGTCGATTCCCTGTGCCGGGTTCCGGAAGCTTCCGTGAGCGCCTGGTCGGGGCGGCGGCCAGCACTGCTGGGAGCACTCGCCTGCTCCCCGGGCCCAAGCTGGGGTCCCGCGTGCCGCGGGCGGGGAGGCACCTGCTCGCAGGAGGCAGGCGCGGAGCTGGGCTGCCGTCAGGGGGCTCGGGAGGTGGCGTCCCCCCCCCCCCGGGGTCGGTGGGCCTCCTCCGGCCTCCTGGCCCCCGCGGGGCTGGCGCCGAGCCTGGCGCTGACGGCGCGCCCTCTGCCCTGCAGGAAGGACCTGTGTGCCACCATGAACCGGCCCTGCGAGACGCTGGGGCTGTCGCACGTGGCCGGCATGTGCCAGCCGCACCGCAGCTGCAGCATCAGCGAGGACACCGGCCTGCCGCTGGCCTTCACCGTGGCCCACGAGCTCGGACACAGGTACCCGCCCGCCCTCGCTGCCGCCGGGCAGCCCGCCGGGGTCATGGAGTCCTGGGGAAGGACGCCGTCCGGGGAGGGCGTCCCGACGGGGCCTGGCCACTCGCTGCCCGCACGGCCGCCTGGCGCCCCTGGGGCTGGCCAGGCGTCACCTGGGCCTCACCTGAAGGGGGCGGGACGGGCCAGAGAGCCGCTCATGTCTCCGGCCGTCCCGTCCCTCCCACCGCCCCTGGTGCCCGAGTTTTCACTCTCGTTTTCACCGCCTGTCCCTGTTCCCGCCCGCTCTGGGACCCGGGCCAGCACCTGCCCCCTCTGGGCCTCTGCAGTCCCTTCCCTGTACACGGAGGAGGCTGGGTGGATTCGGTGACGTTTGAGCCTCCCCCCCCCACTCTGCTGCCCGAGCCCTGCCGTCCAGGCGCAGCCCGGCCCAGCCGCCTGCGCCAGGCCGTGTAGCCCGTGCGCCTGGCAGCGCCTCGGGGTGTCGGCAGGCCGGCCAGGGCGGCTCGCAGAGCTCTGGGGGCCAGAGGTGTGAGGGTCATCGTTCAGATGTCCGGGTCCCCCGGGCGGTGGCTGGACACGCAGGGCCTCAAAGCCGCTAGTGGCAGCTGAAGGGTTTGCTTTGCCGCGAGCGGTTCTGCCGCTCCCTGGCTGTGCCGCCCTGGCTGGTTCCTTAGACTCTCTGAGCTGCTCAGGGTATAAGATGAAGCCTGAGATAGTCTCTTTCTTTTTTTTGAGACAGAGTCTCCCTTTGTTGCCTAGACTAGAGTGAGTGCCGTGGCGTCGTCAGCCTAGCTCACAGCAACGTCAGACTCCTGGGCTCACGCAATCCTCCTGCCTCAGCCTCCCGAGTAGTAGCTGGGACTACAGGCATGCGCCACCACGCCCGGCTATATATTTTTAGTTGGTCAATTCATTTCTTTCTATTTTTTAAGTAGAGACGGGGTCTCGCTCTTGCTCAGGCTGGTCTCGAAGTCCTGACCTTGAGCAATCCGCCTGCCTCGGCCTCCCAGAGTGCTAGGATTGCAGGCATGAGCCACCGCGCCCGGCCGAGATAGTGTCTCAGAATGTGCTTAGCACGTGCCGGGATTTTTCTCGCGTCTTTCCTGGGAGTGATCTCTGGAGCCTTTCTGTGAGGCAGCAGCCGTTCCGACCCCCCAACTCCAGTCTTGGGACAGGACCAGGGCGTGGGCACCTCCGTGGGACTGTCCTTAAGCCAGCGCGGCGGCCGGGCCACGCCGGGCCCTGCCCGTGCCCCTCCCCTTGCTGGCCAGCTGGGGCGGGAGCTGGGCCGTGCTGGGTCCCGGCCCCAGTGCACCCCTGGGGTACTGGCTGTCGTGCCCGTGTCCCCCACCGTGGAAACCGAGGCTCAGAGAGGGCACGCAGCTTTTCAAGGCCACCGGCGTCTGGTGGCAGAGCCGGCTCTGGGGCCTGAGACGGGCACTGGGGGGGGCTGCACTCACCGGCCCCCGGGGCCTGTGCTCTCACGCAGTTTTGGCGTTCAGCACGACGGCAGCGGCAATGACTGTGAGCCTGTTGGGAAACGGCCTTTCATCATGTCTCCACAGCTCCTGTACGACGCCGGGCCCCTCACCTGGTCCCACTGCAGCCGCGAGTACATCACCAGGTTCCTCGAGTGAGTCCCCACCCGGCCCCGGCGGTGGGCGGGTCGGTCCGGGACACGGGAGACGCAGCCTCTCGCAGTGCCGGGCGGGCGGGGGAGGCAGAGGGCACCTGGGGAAGGTGGGGCTGGGTCCCTGTCCTGCTGCTGGGGCACCTGAGCTCAGGCTGGGGGATGGGCAAGAGGCGGGGGGGGGACGGGCAAGAGGCGCAGGTGTGCAGGAGGAGGAGACAGGTGTCCTGGGGGACGGGCAAGAGGCGCAGGTGTGCAGGAGGAGGAGACAGGTGTCCTGGGGACGGGCAAGAGGCGCAGGTGTGCGGGAGGAGGAGACAGGTGTCCTGGGGGATGGGCAAGAGGCTCAGGTGTGTGGGAGGAGGAGACAGGTGTCCTGGGGGACGGGCAAGAGGCGCAGGTGTGCGGGAGGAGGAGACAGGTGTCCTGCGGAAGGGCAAGAGGCGCAGGTGTGCGGGAGGAGGAGACAGGTGTCCTGGGGGACGGGCAAGAGGCGCAGGTGTGCGGGAGGAGGAGACAGGTGTCCTGGTAGAGGGAGGCCCAGCAGAGGCCCGGGGCGTGTGGGGACGGAGCCGTTCTCGGGATTGCAGGGTGTACCGGGCCACGTAGGAGACGGAGCCAGAGGAGGCCCAGGCCGGCCACATGGTCCCGTGAAAAGCAGGGACACGAAGCCACTAACGGAACTGAACTATGAAGCTCTTTCCTTTCTTCTTTTTTTGAGACAGCGTCTCACTCTGTTGCCCGGGCTAGAGTGAGTGCCGTGGCATCAGCCTCGCTCACAGCAACCTCCAACTCCTGGGCTCAAGCGATCCTCCTGCCTCAGCCTCCCGAGTAGCTGGGGCTACAGGCATGCGCCACCACGCCCGGCTGATTTTTTCTATATATTTTTAGTTGGCCAATTAATTTCTTTCTATTTATAGTAGAGACAGGGTCTCCATCTTGCTCAGGCTGGTTTTGAACTCCTGACCTCGAGCGATCCTCCCGCCTCGGCCTCCCAGAGTGCTGGGATTACAGGCATGAGCCATCACGCCTGGCCTTTCAGCTTTTTCTTGATATCTACTTTCCTATTTCCAAAAAGCATTCCTAGACTGTTACTTCTCGTGGTTTCAGTTGAGATGTCATCCAGAGGGTTGGGATTGGGCACTCTTGCGTCACTTCCTGTGCGAACGTTTGTTTTTCTCCGTCCCAGGGAAGGGGTAGCATATTTCGACGAAGTCCGTGATCATTGTGATTCTGCACATCTTTACTGATGAGCCGAATGTTGTTACAAGAGGATGTTTCCTTTTAAGAGCAAGTCTTTTTATTTACTTGGTTTTCTTTCCCTCTCGGAGTCTCCTGCATCCTCTGACAGCTCTGTAAAAGGTCTCTTCATCCGGTTTTCCAGAAGGTAATCTCTGCCAGGTGATCCAACAGTTCCCGCCCTCCTGGGCCTCACCCTGGACTGCGTGTCCTCCCAGTTGGGCTGGACGCTCCCCAGGCCTACCCTGAGGCGGTCACACGGGGTCTTCCCATTTCCTGTGCAACCGTTTCTGGGAGGGAGCCTTTTTGGCTTTTCATTTGTTTTGGTGGAGCGCATCCTCAAGTAGGTTTCTGAGAAAGGGTGCGGAGAGGGAAACGGTTCGCCTGCCTGAAAGCTCTTTACTCCTTCCTCACATCTGATTGATGTCAAATTCCAGAAGTCACTTTCCCTCAGAATGTCAAGGTGTATTTCTTTTTTTTTTGAGACAGAGTCCCACTCTGTTGCCCAGGCTAGAGTGAGTGCCATGGCGTCAGCCTAGCTCACAGCAACCTCAGACTCCTGGGCTCAAGTGATCCTCCTGCCTCAGCCTCCCGAGTAGCTGGGATTACAGGCATGCGCCACCATGCCCGGCTAATTTTTTCTATATATATTAGTTGGCCAATTAATTTCTTTCTATTTATAGTAGAGATGGGGTCTCGCTCTTGCTCAGGCTGGTTTTGAACTCCTGACCTTGAGCGATCCTCCCGCCTCGGCTCCCAGAGTGCTGGGATGACAGGCGTGAGCCACCGCGCCTGGCCTCAAAGGCGTATTTCTGACGTCTTCTAGTTTCCTACATTGCTATGGAGACGTCCCACACCATTCTGATGGCCAAGCCTGTGAAGGTGACTTTTTGAAAAATCTAGAAGCTTTTGGGATTCTCTCATCTTTCCCTCCCTTCCTCCCTCCTTCCTTCCTTTCTTTCATTTTATATTTCACAATTATGTGCCTTGGTTTATTTTAATTTTGGGGGCCACTCATTAGGCCCTTTTACTTTAGAAACTCATGTCCTTCAGTTCTTGGAAATGTTCTTGTGTTATTTATTTGGTAACTTAATATCTTGTATTTTCTTTTTCTGAAACCCTTAATAGTCAAGCTGTTCTCTCACTTTCTTATTTTACTCTTTTTCATCTATTTCCTGGGAGGCAACTAATTTATCTTTACAACTCTTGTATTAGTATTTTTTTTTTTATTTTACTTTTAATTTCTTACACTTTCTCATTCACTAAATGCAAGTTGAGTACCCGTATGTGACATGCTTGGGACCAGAAGTGTTTCAGATTTTGGACTCTTTTGGATTTTGGAATATTTGTATTATTATAGGTTCAATATACCAAATCTGAAAATCCAAAATCTGAAATGGCTCAATGGGCATTTCCTTTCAGCATCATTTTGGTTCTCAGGAATTTTTGGTTTTGGAGCATTTCAGATCTGAGATGGTCAACCTGTGCTCTTTCCTGTCATCCTGTTCTTGTTTCGCTGTACGGTATTTTATCTTTCCGAGGTTATTAGTTATATGGGTTTTATTTTTTTTTTCTTCTGCTCCCTAAAATGTTTTTCTTTCCTTTGGGTCATTTTTTAGAAATCTTTCTTTCACGTTAAAGGTTTTCGTAAAACGTCTTGGCTATACTTTTCCTGCGGGAAGGAGACACAGAGATCCCGGCGGGGAGGTCTGTGGACTTGGGCAGGGCGTTTCCGACTCGCTGTCAAGGAGCTGGCTGGGACAGGGCTGCTTGCTGGGAGATCCGGGGGCCATTTTCTGAGTGACTCGGTTTCCCCAGAGGGGAATCCTCTATTCTTTTCCTTGGAGAGCGTAAGTCCGGCTGCAGTGCTCGGGCGTCCCAATGTGGCGGGGGCTGGACGGGCGTCTCAGCCGTCACTGTGTAGACCTGTGCTCGTCCCTCTTCCTCTGTGGGTCCCTCTGCCTGGGACCATCGTCTGTGTCTCTTGTTCCCAGGCCAGATCCTCCTGGTCTCCAGAGAGCGACCTTGGCCCTCACGGGGCGGGGAGGGTTGGGGTTAGGGCTGGGCGGGGTCTCCGTCTGGTGGTTCTTACAGACTCTCACCAGCGCTGTCTTCAGCCCGACTGCCCCGGCCCCTAGGCGTCCTGGGCCACTCACTCCTGGGCCTTTCCACGGCTCCGCTCTGGCGGTCCCTCCCTGCGGCACGTGGCCTTCGTCTCTCCACGGAGTGAGTCAGCCACGGCTTCACCACTTGCTCTCCAGCCTCAGAATTTCGCCGGCACCTTTCATTCGCCGTGCTCACTTCTCCCTCAGCCTTCGCCCCGTGGGTTCGTGCCTCGTTTGCTCCTCCACCCTGGTCCTGGCGGGCGTTGGAGGGGAGCAGAGAATGAGCTGTTTGCTCCGGCGCCATGTTTTTCTAGGAGCCCCCTCGCTGTGGGGCGGAGGCAGGGACGGGACCAGGTCCACTGGGGACATGAGAGCAAGGAGGAGGCCTCCGGTGGGAGAGGGTGCCTGGGGTGGGAAGCAGAGAAGAGGTTACTTTGGTGGCAAGAACTAGGCTGTGGCCCCAGCTTCTACCCTTTATCCTCTAAGCCTCAAAAGACGGGGACAGTGACGTGGCCGCCATATGCATTTGATACTCGCCTTGAATGAGAAGTCGCGCCAGTGTTTAGCACAGTGCCTACCACGTGGTGAGCTTTTTTTTTTTTTTTGAGACAGACTCACTCTGTTGCCTGGGCTAGAGTGCCGTGGAGTCAGCCTAGCTCACGGCAACCTCCAACTCCTGGGCTTGAGCGATCCTCCTGCCTCAGCCTCCCCAGTCACTGGGACTACAGGCATGCGCCACCATGCCCGGCTAATTTTTTCTATATATACATATTATATATTTTTTATTTTTTTTGAGACAGAGTTTCGCTTTGTTGCACAGGCTAGAGTGAGTGCCATGGCGTCAGCCTAGCTCACAGCAACCTCAGACTCCTGGGCTCAATCAATCCTGCTGCCTCAGCCTCCCGAGTAGCTGGGACTACAGGCATGCGCCACCACGCCCGGCTAGTTTTTCCTATATATATTAGTTGGCCAATTAATTTCTTTCTATTTATAGTAGAGATGGGGTCTCGCTCTTGCTCAGGCTGGTTTCGAACTCCTGACCTTGAGCAATCCTCCCGCCTCGGCCTCCCAGAATGCTAGGATGACACGCGTGAGCCACCGTGCCCTGCCTTTTCTATATATTTTTAGCTGTCCATAAAATTCCTTTCTATTTATAGTAGAGGCAGGGTCCTGCTCTTGCTCAGGCTGGTCTCGAGCTCCTGAGCTCAAAGGATCCTCCCGCCTTGGCCTCCCAGAGTGCCGGGATTACAGGTGTCAGCCACCGCGCCCGGCCACGTGGTGAGCTTCTGATCCGTGGTGTCTGTTGTTGTTTCCACGTTTCCAAGCGAGGTGTGTCTGGACTTGAACGGGGATGAGGCCTGAGGTGCGGAGGGGGCGCGTCCCTCCCCAGAGAGGGGCGGGGGAGTAAGGGAGTGGCTGGAAAATGGGAATCGTGGCCGCCACCCCCTGGGGCTTTCCCAGCTGCCCCCACCCGCGGTGCCACCCAGCACCCTGGCTCCAGGACAGACGGACAGATGAGTCTCTGTCCTCGGCTGCCGGGATGGGCGACGGGCGTGGCTCGGGGCCGGGCGAGGGTGGAGGACGGGCGGGAGCCGGGTGTGGGGCCGCCCAGAGCCGTGGCACGAGGCGGAGCCGGCCCCAGCCGGAGGCAGGAACGGG